CGTCATGGAACGATCTCGTGCCCACTGTGTCTCCCGTGCCTGTCATGGAATAATCTAGTGCCCAGTGCATTTCCTCTGTCCTTGAAATGGGCTTCAGGCGCAGATGAGAGGAAGCAGGCACCACCCCGTACCAACACGGGCCTGCACGCTCCATGACCCCAGGCTTTGGAGTGGCTCAGAGGCGGCTCCACAATCTCTGTGCTTGCTGAGTTCTTTCAGGTGGGCGACTTCTATTCCCATCAAAATAGTGAAAGACAAAAAAATCCATCAGGACTGTGTTGTAATTTCATAGACTGACAGATGGAGGCATGTAGTAATACATCTTTTATTACTTCCTTTGACAGCTACAGATTGCATACGGAGTTTAACTGGGCTGATACACACATTCTGCAGGTGCACTGTTGAGAGAACTGTTTTGGACATTTTCTTCTGGCTATCACAGAAATAAAGTATCTAGGTAGAGAAAGGAATTTCCTGGCAGTCCAAAGAATGCTTCTCCCCATGGCTCCAAATACTCTGCAGTCACACAATCCCAACGTAAGCATTTTAATGACTGCTAAACTGATGCTCAAATATGGAGAGGCCAGCCTGCACTAAAAGGTTTTCATCTATTGAGTTTATGAAATGACCGTAACCATTAACTATATATAAAGAAATTATCTTTTTTTTATTAAAGCATTAAGCTACATAAGGGATTACATTTATGTCACACACAAACGAAGACGTGGGGCCATTAAACTTGGTATCTTTTTTTTTTTCTTCTTCTTTTTGAGACAAGGTATTGCTATGCAGTTCAGGCCGGCCTTGAACTCAGTTATGTAGCCCAGGCTGGCCTCAAACTCGCAACGATCCCCCTGCCTCAGCCTCCCGAGTGCTGGGATTAGAGGCATGCCCCACCACACCAGGCTAAACTTGGTATCTTAAATTTGTTCATAGTTGAAACTTGAAACTGCAAGTACCTGAGACTTGGGGAAACTAGTTCCATAGCCAGTAACACTGCTGCTCCTCTACATTTGATGAAAGACTTTCCTCAGTGACCTTCATACCTCATGACATTCATACCTCACACCTTTGGAGTTTTCAGACAGAAAAAACTCATTTTCTACCTGCAGTTTCCTATGCCATAGTTATATCATCTAATTTAAAAAGTTCTTCCGAGGAATGTGAAAAGTATTTTGTTTCTACCAAATAATTATTCTGCCATGATCTGCAAGATACTGACACAGAAACAGGCCTGATTATATTTTTCTTATGTCCTGGTGAAGTTCCCCATTAGGGCATGGAGCAGGATCCTCATCTCCAAAACGATACACATTTTTTCAGCATTCATGTCACTAATTTATTTACACACGTATCTAGTATGCTATACAAATTCAAGAGTTGAGTCTATTTTCAAAGAGACAGCACCTCTCAAGACATTCTCCGTATCTGTTACATGGATGAATTAAAACATCTTACTTCTTGAGTAATCAATGTCTTACACAGTATAAGGTGTACCAAATCCAGATCCAAGGTACGAGGTCATCACAGCGAGGGACTGCCCCTTGTTTTCACCGAAAATGGCAAATTCTTCCTGGCTCTGATGGACCATGGAGGTTGTGAACCTCCGGATGACCTGCCCCTGCTGGAAGCTCCAAAGGCGCAGAGACTGAAGGCAGAAGAAGTGGCTGCACTGCTCCAGGCCTTCCTGTTCTTACAACCTTGTTCCCAGTGTGCCAAGGTACTCTTCATGCAGATGAGTATCAAAATGGAAGCGGGGTGATACAGCAATTAGGTCCTATGGCTTGAATAATGGCGTGTTATAAACTTATCTATGCTACATCATAGGCTATATAGGAAACTGCTTGTGATATATTTAGTTGTATATATGTCTTATATTTTAAAATTTAACCTCAAACTCCTCCATTTCAAACTGAACTGCAGTTGACACACCACAAAGATAGTTAGTCGTTTGATACAGTAATTTCTGTGGGAAACACAGATCTCAATCGTTGCTCATTTAAAAAGCCTCGCCTTTTAAGCCTGTGACTCTGCATTGTGGGGACTTACATAATAATGAGGGCAAAATGCATCCCTGACGGGGCAGGTCTACAGAGCACTACTGCAAATGGACCCGCACAATGCAGTGCTTCACAGAAAAGGAAAATACACTCCGCCACAGCGTCAGGGCTTCTGGCACCGCAAGCAGTCTTCTTCTGAAGCCCACAGTCCTAGCACTGCGGGGTGACAGACTTAAGATGGGTAATTTTTACCAACCTGCCTGAGACACGTGGTGCTTAGACACTTGGTTGACCCTACTCTGGGTGTTTCTGGGTAAGTTTAATAATTAAACTGATAGACTGAGCAATGCAGATTCCCCTCCTTATTGTGTGCACGCCTCCTTCAACCAGCGGATGGCCTGAGCCTCCCCCAGAGGACACAATTCTTTCTGCCTGACTGCTTTCAGGCTTGGGCGTGAATTTTCTCCTGCCCTCGGCCTGACTGCACGTTACTGGGACTGGGATTTCTCAGCCTCATCACCAGCCTGCCTTTTCCCTAGACTGAATGAGTGGGGATCATGCCTTCTTTCTCCTTATGCTCCCTAGTCTGACGCGCTGACCAGCAGGTACTTCTCAGTGAGTGCCGACTGAGTGCTTGAAGTGGGTAATCCTAGGGAGCGCGACATCACCGAGGGTGACTGTCTATGGGGCGCCAGTAGTGACACTCTACAGGGAACTTCTGCTAGAAGCCTCCTAACAACGTAACTCACTGTCCTGGAATATGAACAGGCCTTGGGGTCTTTAGTTTTTAGTGCGTTTGTGCTCATTTGCTTTAGAAACTGTTCAAATAAGGTCATTTTTTTTTTTTTGTCTTTTCTTCTGGTACCAGGAATCGAACTCACGACCTTGCGCTTGCCAGGCAGGCGCTTTGCCACTGAGCTAAATCCCCAGCCCCAAGGTCATTTTTTTGTTATTTTTTTGTCTTTTTACTGAAAGGTCTTTATTGCCCACCAGCCACCAGTAGGTCCCCAGCCACATGTGAGCTCTGCGGGGTCTCTCCACCCACTCTGAGGCCCCAGGAAATGCAGCCACAGTCCAGCTCTCTCCTTCCAGAGGGACCAGGGAGCCCTCTGGGGCTTTCAGGGGGACAAGCAGCATTCCTGTGGAGGCTGGGCAAGAGGGCCCCTCACGGCCCCCGTGATGGCAGGCGGCCCCTGAAGAGGAGGGCAGAAGGGAGAGGCTCCCTAGATGGGGATGACACCAGTGGCAAAGAGGATAATGAAGAGCAGGATGATAAAAACAATGACACAGATGATGATAATCGTCTTCACATTCTTCCACCAGAACTTTTGCGCCACCTTCTGCGACGTGGTCTTGAAGTGCTCGGAAGTGGCTTCCAGGTCCTCAGTCTTGCTGTGGAGGTGATCCAGGTTTTCGCCTCAGGCCAGGATCCTCTCCACATTCTGGGTCATAATATTCTTGAGTCCCTCCACCTCACTCTGCAGGTTCCGCACTCGGTCATTTCCCCGCCTCCGCTGGCCTCCTCCATGTCCCCGGTGGCTGCGGCCCCTCGGCAGCACACTTGCTGGTCGGTTTCCTCCTGGGGCAGCCGGGCTCTACTTCCTGCTCGCTCCAACCTTCAGCCCGCCTCCCGCGCCCACCACGCACAGCTGCTCGGCTACACCTAGGGCAGGTTCCCCAGGTAGGTGGGCGCCCTCCACCGCCCTCCTGTTTTTGTTTTTTTTTTTTTTTACTAGGGAGTTTGCAGCAGCTGATGGGAAAGGCACGCTGCCTTTATTGCAAATTATTCAGTGTGCTGCACGACCTCATCCTCCACCACTTTCTGATGTGGCCTCTCGTTTCCATACTTGGCAAGTTTCCATACTTGCCACTCTGAACAGCACAGAGAGGTAAGCCTAAAAAAGTAGATGAGGCACAGGAGACTACAGTCCCAGAAATATTTATTAGTCATCTCCTAAGGTTATATTTAAGGTTACACTTGTACATAATGCATAATTATTACTGTCAAATAATCACTTAAGAAACATGTTTCCAAGGACAAAGAAAAGCACAGCATTCACAGACACCCCGGACGAGGCAGAAGTGACAAGTACATTCTATTACAGCTGGGTTTCCCAAACTGAAACAGCTGGAAAGAACGGACAGACAACAGGATCATCACTAGAGTGACTCCTCTGAAGTCCACACTATGGGAATTGATCTGTGAAAAACCTGTGCAAAGTGCAACACTCTGCTAAAAATGAGCCCACAAAAAAGCCAGTCTTCAGTCCTGACAGTATCTCTTCTAAACGAAACCAAGGTGTTCGCTGCGGTAGGCGAGGAAGGAGGAAATGGACACACACACACTGTCCAGACCTAAGCCACAGCTAAGAAACTCTGTAAACATTGCGGACTTTAGCCTGTGTGACTTTTGCTATTCCCATGTGAAAAATCCAAAGATCTAAACACACTGTCAAGTCATGCCATGTTCTCTAGTTCAGCAGAAGATAAAAGAATTCACAGAAGAATTAAAAATTGCTAACACTTTGTAGCAGAAAAGAAGAGGTAGATGTACTTCTGCCATGGTTTGTGCATGGCTCCAGAATTGCTAAGGTGATACTGCAGTGTCAAAAGAGCCTTTCACAGAGGTTACCAGGCCACGAGGATGGCTCTGTTGCTAACGGAACCGAGGCCCTTTTAAGTAGGCTTTTCCCAACACGACAAGCTCACCCTTCTCCTCCCACCCTGCAGGTGCAGCAAGAAGCCTTCACCAGACCAAAGACCTGAGCCTGGATCACAGAACACCCAACTTCCGGAACTGTGAGAAATAAATTTCTGTTCTTTAAACATCACACAGAAAATTAGTCTAAGTTCACATGGATACTATTTAGTATGACGAAAGCCATGAGTATGGAGGGATATAAACTGCTCAAACAGGCAAGGAGACACTGCTGGAGATTCAGCTGCTTTGGTCTTGACACAGATTAGCCTGGCAGCAGGCAGCCAAGGAGACCCACTCACCACAATGTCCTCAGGAAACGTGTCTCTGCTGAAGGAGCCGTCATCAAACATGACCTCATAGAAGGTCTGCGACGTCACAGCCATCACCCGGCAGCTGTAGTAGCGGGTGTTCCGATGCTTTGTGATGACTGTCTGGCCCACGGAGATGGCCTTCTCACAAGCCTTGGACTTCTAAGAGGCAAAGCAAGTTGGAAGAGGAGTGGGAGAAGACAGAAAATAAAAGAAATATTTACTTAGAAAACAGTAATTGATTTGGACAAAATTTTTTTTAAGCATTTTACATTCAGGATTGGAGAATAATTTCAAATTTAGAAATTGCAAGAACACAAAGTATACAAGGCCAGAAGTGGTGGCATACACCTGTAATCCTAGCACTTGGGAGGCTGAGGTAAGAGGACTGCAGCGAGTTCAAGGGCAGCCTGGGCTACACAGAGAGTTCAAAGCCGGCCTAAACTTCATAGCAAGACCCTGTCTCAAAACAAACAAATGAACTCAAAGAATACAAATAGCAAGAACACTGACATATTATTTGATCGTTTACCCAGATTCATCTGTTACTGTTTCTTACTATCATTTTACCATCTGCTTTATTGTTTATGCATTCTTTGTACTAACTGTGTGTCTTTACAGAGAGGAGGGGAAAAGAGTGCGTGTGTGGCGGGGGGGGGGGTTGTCTCTACTGAACTATTTGCAAGCTACGCATATCATGATATATCATCTAAATTTACTTTCTAAGAACAAAACTATTCTGACATCACCATTATTCCAGTTCAACTATCAATTTAAGGAAAAGGAACACTGATAATACTTTCACCAGGCATTCATACTCTAGTTGTTAACTGACCCAACAATGACTCTTACGGTATTTTCTTTACCATCAAACTTCTAAGTATAGGCTCTAGTTTAGAGCCAAGTATTACAGTCAGTTGTTACATCTCCTTAGATGACTCCTTTAATATGGAACATTTCCATAGTCCTTCCTTGGGTTTTATAGTAGGGATACTTTGGAAAGATATAATTCTTCCTTTTTCTGCTTTTCAATGGAGGATTTGTTTGATGTCTGATGTAGTCTTAGGTTATACTTTCTTGGCCAGAATTCCACATGGGTGATATGTGTCTTAGGATATTTCATCTGCAGATACAGGATGTACGCATGCCTCTCAATGGTGATGTCAATTTTGATCTTGATCAAGTATAGTCCAATTTCCTCACCTAATTACTATTTTTCTCTAACACTAATAAGCAATTTGTAGGACACTTTATTACCATGCAAATATCTTATTCCTCATATATCCCTGTTTAGACTCATAATCCACTGATGAGCCTCACATACTCTTTACTATGACGGTGTGCATGGAATGTTCTGCTCCAGCACAGCCTCCAGATTTATTCGTCGGTATTTGATACCCGGGGATCTCTCATATCTCTCTAAATCCATCTCCCCAGCATCCATGTGCCCATCCATTCATTATCAGTAACACCTGACTAATTTTTTCTCCCAAATTGTTTACCATTCCTACTGTGTTTTATTATTTTGGTGCTCAAAATGGGACAACAGCTCTTGCAGCAGATTTCTATGTCCTCTCTTTTTAAGGCAGTTTTTTGCTATCTGCCCGATTGAGGATCATCTCATCCCAGCCCTTAAGTTAGCCATTCTGAGAGCATGGTTAGTTTCATTTTTTTTATTATTTATTTTTCATTAGTATAAGAATGGTGACAGGTCAAGTTTTGTGTGGTCACAGGTATAGAAAGCGCTAAAAAAATTTATCACAATAGTACAGGTAGAAGATGAGGACCTGTAACCAGGGACTCAGATCAAGGATGCTTATGATTTGGGGAAAGAGGCACCCCTCCCCTAATAAACACATTCCTAAGGGTCTCTTACGGGTAGGGTAAACAGGTATCTAGTTTCCCATGTAACTAACAAAAGGTCATTTTTCTGCTTGAAATCATTCGCAAGTGATTGCTAGATTGGGAAATTTTTCTGTGCCTCCAGGTATAGTTAGGTGTGTGAACATTTTGATAAAGCACATAAGTGATAACCCTACAGTGATTTAAATACATTATGCTTAGAGTAGAAATCTTTATTGTAACAGCTAAGCAGGAGCACGTTACCTATGCTGAAATAATGAGCCAGTTCGCTACTTCATTTCCCTGCCCATCCACTTAAATATACTAGCCTTTCAAAATAAGAGAACAACTTAGATGAAATAATTAATACGAGCCAGAGGCATAGCCTCCAAAACTAGGCCCATGACAGCAACTTAAGATTGTATAGGTTTCAAGTAATTCTAGGAGGTAACTTACACAAAGTGTGGCTTCTCACAGTGGCCCTCAGTGACCTGTATTAGGCCAATCACGATTTTATCTTAGTAGAACATTTTTGCAGATGCTGTCCCTTTCTTTCAAAATTACAATTACTGGTGCTTTACTCCCACCGCCACAGTTCCCAGCTGAAACTCATGGAGAAAGCCAGGTATTTCCCATCTACTTCCTGGGGGCAGAGCGGGCGACCCAGGACCTTGCCGCCATTACAGCCCTCCATGCACCTGCAGCAGACAGGAGTTCCTCACTCTGAAGCCCCAGAGACTGCTCTCACCAGGGTTCACGTGTGAGCCCTCCCTGCATGCGCCCTGTGCCCAGTAAGCACTCGAGTGCTGTAAGAGCTGCTGGTCCTGTGGTTCAAGCCCATGCTTTACTTGTGCCCGGATCCCGTGGGGGGTCACAGGCACAGACAGTCTGTGATTGCTATTCCTCCGGGCCACATTTGGTTCCAGTATGTGTCCTGAACTGACTGGAGACACAGAATCAGGTGGTTCACAATCTGTCACCCTGCAGTTTGTGTCTGGGTTTTGCCTGTACCCTGAACTGCCTGGGGACATAGGTCCACTGGACCGGGATTGTCACACCAGTGCAACCTGAGTCTGGGCTGTGCACGTGCCCTGAACTGCACGGGGATGCTGGATCAGACGGTCTGCCATCAGCTGACACCAATGCCC